CCGAACAAACCAACCAAAACAAGGCGGAATGCCGCCAACAAGACAAACCAAAACAGACAAGCGAACATTTCCAACACATTCCAATTTCAAGCCCGAGGTGTCATGTCACAGGCGCTTTTTCACCAACTTCCATGTCTGTAGGTGATCCACACCTACACCCAGAGAACCGCTGTAGAAGATAAAAGAACTTCTACCACCCGCGTTTTTTCCAGCAGGTGTACGCACAAAAGGGTGCGTTTGTGTATAAGCTGTATAAGCCGTTTCTTTTTGTCCTCGTCGCTCCCTTCAATGAGCTGTTGCAGGTCGGTTGTGGATGGGTGAAGGAGCCACCTCGTGCAAAAGGGCTTGGCAAACTGACTCACCCCCTATTCCTGGGTAGCCTTGCGTTTGCTGCGGCATCTGCACCCGAAGCCTGTCTGCCAACTTTGCACAAGTCCAGCTCTCTGACCGCAGATCGTGGACACGCAAAATAGCCACACTGTCAAAAGCAATGCAATCCTGTAGGTGTTCCAAAAAACGGTTGATGCAAGTGGCTAGCCATCATTTTGAAATACGCAGTGGCATTGTGGGGCGGCTGGTTTTTAACAGCAGAAGCTGCAAGAACGGCTACGCCATGCACTTCGCCAAAGCGTGGTCCGGAAGGCCCAAAGATGACAAGCTTGTGTGGAGCTGCAAAGCTGAGTTGGTTGGTTGTTTGCGACTTGTACCGTTGAACCTCCACCCACTTTTGGCCACTTGCCAAAGCTTCACTCCATTCGGGTTTCAGAATCCTCCGGAAGACTACCATCTTGTCACGAGGTATTTGAGGCATGCTGCTTGGTTTCTTATGGATGAGAGGCTGATGCCCTGGGTTCGCCAAGTGTGCATCTACGAAAGACCTCCCCCTCGAATCTAAATCCAACGATACGGCATCACCATGACCTGCGGCCTGGAAAGGCTTTTTCAAAGCTGCCAATAGATCTGTCCTTCTCCGGTCATCCTGGTTGAAACTCATTGCAATGTGCAACAGGGCCTCTGATGATTCTTTCAGCAGCACATCATGCTTCGCCCAACCTGGCAGGCTTGGCCCGTTGAAATGCAAGTAGTTCACCCTGAGATACGCCAGATGCGACAGGGAAACGAACCATTCTTCAGATATGCTTCTTGCTTGGGCTGGAAACATAGCTTGCGCGATTGCCCATAGGCGTTCTACTGGAACGGTCCCCGATTGCATTCTCAGCCCAGCTTGGAGCATGGCCAGGGCAGCCCGCCTCCATCTCCACAACCCTTGCAGACGCAGTGGCTGCAAGAGCCTCCTGTAGTGCAGCTTGACTTTTTTGTTCATAATGCTGCGCTTTGGGGCACGTTGCCTCTTGGCCTTTGCGTGCTGCGCTTGCGCACGGAAACGAATGATGCGACGACACCTATACCGCAATGGCTTGACTTCTCGTCGCCCTCTTCGATACCAATTCCGGACTCTTTTGATTTCACGCTTGAAATCTTGAAGGGTGCGGAAATTGTAGAACCCTGCTCTGGGGCTCAACGAGATCTGGAGGCGCCTAGCCAATCTTGCAACAACCCCTCTGGGGGGCCAAGCCTGGAAGTGTTGCATCCAGATTGGGTGTGTGAGAACATCATCCTGTTGGAGGAATTGCTCTAGGCTGGCCCTGGCTTCTGCGTCAGCATGAACGTTGGCAATCCAAGCCTCAACGTTCAACGCCACACCCTGCTTCAACAATGCCACTGCAGCAGGCGTCATCTCCTCAACAAGCCTGTCGCTGCCTTGCTCGTCAAAGAAATCTGGTGGGAAAGGAGCACTCAATCTGTCAATGCAATCCTGTGAAGCAGCTTTTGGGTCAAAGAATGAAATGCGCCTAGCACAAACAATTCAAACCCCCACAAAACCCAAAAAAGACTGAGCGTGCGTCTAGGGGACAGCATGGTCAAAGTAAATGTCTGCGAAGTCTTGCCCCAGATTTGGCAAAGCGCGGCGCAAGTTGATGAGGTCATGCATTGGCTCACCTGTAACCAATGTTGTGTCCAAGACTTGGCTCCCGTGTTGTCGGTTTATTTTGCGCACATCACCCTTCGCAGCCTCGCTGTCAAATCCAATCTCCTGGGCCTTCCAAACTCTGTCGTAGACTTTTGGCCAGAGGTTGCGGTGTTTGTTGTATGTATCAGTTGCGTGCACAGTCGGCCTAGAAGCTGCCCAATCCATGCCAAAGGCCATTCGGATGCCCTTTGCCGTTTGCAAATATGGTTCCAAATCTTTGGCCTGGTCTTCGAAGGATTCTCCGGGTTTCAGCACAAAGGGCTTCAGCAGGCTTCCGTCTGTGCCACACCATGCCAAAATGCATGTGTACGGGCGCCGCTGCCCGGTAGCATGACCGGGGTCACGCTCCAGAACTCGGCTTGCCAAGTCATAGTGGCCATCACCACGGACAATTGACATGTTGTACAGGGCTTGGCGTTTGATGAGCATACCAACTTGCTCTTCCACAAAAACAGAAAAAGCCTTTAAGGCTATAGCCCGGAGCTCTTCGGCTGTAGGCAAAGCAAGGGCCAAGGCACCGATGCTGGTCGGTGACACACGGCAGCGCCCACGGGCGATGCGCTCCAGCATGCATGTGTGGGCAGAATCCAGAAGCCGCCTCCGCACCGTTCGCAAATTGAAGGTTGCGTAGATATTCTGCAGCAGCCAGACCAAATATGTGCTGGTCATGAACCGGAATCTCTTGGCATGAGCTGCTCCCCTGTACACAACTATATCTGGCACGGCGCGAGCAACATCATCCGGCCCTGGCTTGAAATTGCGAGAGACGCCAGCCTTGGCGCAAGTCTGGCAACGTCTGGGCCGCATGTCCAGCAACTTGGGCGCTGGAACATCTAACAAAAATACTGGCTCAACGCGGTGCTCTCTGGCGACCAGGTGGTGTCCTGGGTTCTGGTCTACATGCTGGGCGGCTTCCAAAGACAAAACCTCGATAGCCCCCAAGCCTTCGGTAAGCTCATCCTTGTCTTCCTGCGCCCAAGAGGGCAAATGCAGGCATGTGGCAGCGACAGAACTTAAGGCATCCCAAGTCTCCAGGATACTGTGTACACAATGGACTTCGGCAGCAGCTGAATCGAACCTCTTCAAATAAACGCTGTCCCGGACAAAGCCCACCACCTGCCAGCTCAAACCCACGTCCTCCAGTTCTTTCCAAACACACGTCAATGCACGGCGCCGCTGAAGAACAGCCTCCGCCCCTTGTGGTGGGTTCCTTGCCTGCGTTGCTGCTATGGGGGCAACATGGGCCATCCAAATGTTTCTACGCTGGAACTTGTGGACGATCAAGACAGGCTCCTGTTTGTGCAAAGCTGTGAGGCCTGCTGCCGGATACAATTCTTGCTTCAACGCTCTACCTGTTTCACATGGCCGAAACAACGATGTGTCCCGCAACTGCTGGTGCACTGCCAGCGTCCTCCCTTCTAACATTCTGCTCGCCATCCTGGCACGTTCCTCAGCCCTATGCTGTGGCAGCCCCCCTGCCTGTTGGTCAGAGCCGGCGCGTTCCTCAGCCCTATGCTGTGGCAGCCCCCCTGCCTGTTGGTCAGAGCACTTTGATCGCCTCTGCCCCCCAGCCCGAAATGCACGGGAAACATTGAACTTTGGGGCTTTCTTTTGCTTCGTGCCTTTCCGGCATGTCCATCGCCGTCTCTTGCATTGCCCTTGCTTCATTACCAGCAGGAATCCACGCTACCCATGGCAAATGGCATCAGCGCCCGGAGGGCAACTGTGATAGGTTGTTATAGAGAGGTACGTGTGTCAGTGCGTGTCTATGTTTTCTTCAAGTTTTGGCTGGGGTGCTCGTTATATTTTGAGAGTTTCAATGGAATCTTGCAGAGCCCACGCCTGGCCAAAACGAAAATCACCGGCGAGAATGAATCAAAACAGATGCGGATGCTCCTGCACTGCATCGAAAAACGACCCGAGCCACCTGCAAAAACTGACAAGAATCACGTAACAGCTCTCCTTTTCGTTGGCTGAAATCAGCATCTCTCCTGGTATCTGCACTACTGCGCCGAGAAAGCTATCCCTGCCACAGTTGCACTCACTGCTTGCGGTCGATCAAAGCCACCCGCGCTTACCCCACAGCTTGCTGTAGCTCGGCCCTGGTAGTGTCTCCGGCACATGTCCTGCCAAGGCATTGCCTCTGCCTCTTCGGAGGATTGTTGGAAGAAGGATGAGGCAGCATCTGGCACATGCAGCAAGACCCTGGACTCACTTGGGCAAACCTGTAGATGCCGAAATGCCATTGAATTTGCCGGGTCCACTTGTGCAAGGCCATCGTGAACTCGTCCAGCGACATGGCAGTCCTCGTATCCTCCGGAAGGTTCGGGCACAACGTTCTCAGAAACTGGACTGAGCGGAAGATCTTGTGGGCGTCCCGCAGCACGTCCGAATCGAAGAAAGCCAGCTTTGTCCGGAAGACAGGGGGCAACTTGTGCGCAGAAACAAAATCGTTGATGGCCACCTCCGCGGCATCATACATGCTCAGGGCATGCCCGCTCAAGCAAATCTCCACAGGAGGCTGGCTTGTGCACCTGCTGTGCATCCAATCATGCCAGCTCCGAAGGAGGCGATCGCTGGCATGGAACAGTTGCTGGTCATTCGTACATGTCTCGGACAGAGCCCAGACCTGCTTCAACCTTTTCTGGAAACCATGCACCTTGGGAGAGACAACCTCTTCCACAATCTCATTCTGTCCGGCGACCTTTAGCATGAAGTTGTAGTTGCTCAATGTGAAGCTGCCATTGCCGGTTGTGGGCCCATCATGCTCGCTCTGCGTCCAAGTATTCAGCTTGGTCACAGATATGAAGTGGATGCCGCACTCCCGGTCGGACTGCTTTGTCTCGAATGTGTTGGCAGCCTCATCGGAGGTCACCCCACAGCGGCCATAGTCTTTTAGGCAATTGCGAATGCCTTTTGTGGTGCTATCAGTTGTGAGGATGGAGCGGTCTTTGAATTCCTGGCTGGCACTCTCCGCATCGCACATCCAATCATCACTCAGCTGAATCAATGCCGTGTTGCGGGTTGAGGAGGGAGAGCCAACTATCACGGCACTTCCCGGTGAAATGAAATGTTTGGCCCGCAGACTATGACACAATGTGGTGCCCCCAGCTTCCAGAAACCCGATGTTGCTCTCGATGAGGGCAAGAAGGGCCTCGGTCTGCAGCCCCTTGGCCCGAGCTACAGTGTGCACAGCCTCTGAGATGGGCCCGACAGCAGCAAGGCGAATGTCAAAGTCCTCCTCGACCGCCAGCTGCCTGTGCGTCCGGACATCGTCCCAACACATCTTGAGATTGCCTTTGACGGTGTCATAAGTTTCACTGTTGTTGCGCAGACCCTCAAAAACGCGGTCAGGAAACAAAACATCTTCAAACTCTTCAATAGAGGTGACCGCTTTGAGGGAAGCAACCAAAGCATCCACTGGGTCTGTCATGACGGCCTCCATAGCTGGCCAAGTGTTGATCGCAGACGGCGTGTCCTAGCTAAGTGAAAACCTATAGGATGCCCCCTGGGCGCTCCGCCAAGAGCCAAAAAGACTTGTTTTTGACACAAGAATCAGCTGTGTGAGTTTGTCACTGCAACGCTTTGTTATCACACACTAACAGTCCTGCTGCAATTCGCCCGCAACCTTTTCTTGGCCGGTGGCCGCTTCTCAAACCGCCGGCATCTGAAACGGACCAGTTGGTTCTTCGACATGAGGGCAAACAGGAGGCCTGCAGCAGACTATAGTTCAGGTGGAGTGTCAGAGGTGTGCCGGGCACACTGACACTGCTGTTAGGCAGTGGCAGTGCAGCGGCCTTCTCATTTTTTGCATCCCGCTCGGTTGTTCGCAAATGGAGCCCTAGAAGGAAACTTATAATCAGAAATCATCTCCCTACACGCGCAAGCCGATCCACGCGGCATCACGCTGGGAAATCGCTCAAACACGTAACAGCTCTCCTTTTCGTTGGCTGAAATCAGCATCTATCCTCTCAACTGTACCTACGGCCTACTCAAGGCCTCCCGGGCCATTGCTACCCACTGCCCCACTCTCATTTTCAAATCGTCGTCGCCATGATGGTGTAGGTGGCCCAGAAAGTTTTTGACCTCATCATCTGGCTCTGTGGCTTCAGCCTCCTCGGTGCGCTTTCGTTTGGGCCGACCCAGCGCCAGCAAATCTGTCCAACCCTCATAGCCTGACTCGCGCCTCTTTTTCCGCAGACATAGCACCACATGGTTCTTGCGGATGTAGAATGAGCAGAGGTCCGGCACAATGTCATGTTGAAGATCATCCCGGAAAAACCTCCACGCCTGACCCTTCAAATCTGGGATTTGCAAGTCCACAGCATCACGCCGGAAGGCGCAACGAAGATCCTGGTCAGTTTTGCTTTCCACACCCATGACGCAAAGATGAACCTTCACAAATGCTTCACGCTCGTCGCCCAATTCCACTGAGAACATTGTGATCTCCTGCCACAAAGCCATGAATGCTCGAGGGCCCGCAGTATGCACAAGGGGCTACTTTCTATTTGGCTGGCACTTTACCTTAGAACCGCTACATGCTGCAATTGAGGCTTGCAATGGCTATGGCTACGACAGCGCCAGCTCTTTTTTCCGCGTTTTCGAGAATGCCGGTCATCAACCCAGGTTCAAAACTTGTCGTCCGCACAACTATAGTACAAGCTGCCTCTCAAAATTTGCGCTGGGGGCTCATGCAGAAAAGTCGTTTGCGCTCAGCCGCAGCCTTTGCTTCTCCTGGTCAGCCTTTTCATCATTCTGAATCTCACTCAGGCCGCGTTTTTTCGCCACGTTGCCTGCCTTGCCGGTCGTTGATGACGACCCATGCCGTTTAGCAGCTCGCTCGGTGAATGAAGCAGTATGGCCTTCGGCTGGTGGGGTCTCAGGCTCATACAAATCCAGGAGGCCATGGTCGACCAAGTGTCCAATTGCTTTCTCGATCTTCTCACTCAAGTTGCCCTTGTAGCTTTGTCCTCGCTTGTTTTTCAACCAGCAGCGGACATCTGCAGAAGTAAACCATGTGTTGTGAGGAGCACGAGCCATTAAATTCTTCATGAGCAAATCCTCCTGTGTAGGTTCCGGGAGCGAAGACTCCACTGCCAACAAGACTGCGGCATGCCCAGCACTGGCATGCCCGGAGGACACAGACGCCTCTTCCTGCTTGGCTGCAGCAAACCTGTAGCTGGCGAAGTGTGTTCTCACCTGGCAAATCCATTTGTGAAGCGCGCACGTGAACTCGTCCAGTGACATGGACTCCCGCTGCAACGGGCACTATGCGCTTTGGACATCGACTGCAGAAATTGAGTCGCTCGGAATACTTTGTGGCAGTCCCGCAGGATGTCACTGTGCCAAAACATCAACTTGCTTTTGTAGACCACTGGCATTTTGGTTTCGGCCATGAAGTCGGCAATTGCGCTCTTCACAGCCAGGTACATGGACAGCGCTCTCCCATCCAGCGCCAGTTTGAGCGGCGGCCCAGCCGCCCAGTGCTCATGCATCCACGCGTGCCAAGCAGCCACCAGATCTTCGCTGGCCTGGCAATGCTGGGAATCGTGGGTGTGAACATCTGCTAGGCACCACACCTGCTTAAGCCTCTTCTGAAAGCCATGGACTTTTGGCTGCACAATTTGCTCGACCACCTCTGTTTGCCCAGCCGCTTTGAGCAAGAACTGGTACTTGTCAAGGGATGTCTTGCTGTGACCAGTGGCACTGCCGTCGAACTCAGATTGCGTCCATGTGTTTAGCTTTGTCACAGACACAAAATGAATGCCAGATTCCTTGTCTGAGAATTTGGTTTCGAACGTGTTAGCAGCCTCATCTGTGCTAACTCCAC